GCATATGCCACTTGTGCAAATGGAGCATGCGCACCCACACTTGCCCACTGTCCACGCAAGTGGGGATGTGTTCATTTACCCGCCACTTCTGTGGCCTGCTTCCAAAGGGCTCAAGGCCTTGAGCTGGAGGTTGGACCAGAAGACCTTTGAGGTCCCTTCCAACTCTGTTATTCTGTTATTAGGTAATGCAAATCATGATTCAGAAATCCAAAGTTCTCCCAAGGCACCATCTTTTGAGCCTAGGGTTTACTTTTAAAATCTTCCATTCCTTCGTAGGGTGTTGATATGTTGGAAGCACAGATGAAAATACCATCTGTGCTCCTAACTATATTGCCTTCTTGCCTAGCTGCTCATAGTCCATTGATATATTTTTCAGGTCTTTTTTTTTTTGTATCTTTTTTCCCCAAATGAAGGAAAAAGGGATAACAATCAGTGGAGTAAGCCTTTCTGTTACATATTTGCACCTAGGAGACCACATATCTCCCTTGATAGATTGTCTGGTTTACAAATTGCTGGTTCTATTCCTCTGAGAAGTGAGTCACCAATCACCACCACATTCTTTTTTCTCTTTGAGGAACTCAATGGACTCTCCCTCTTTGTGAGAGTCTGAGCTACTTTTCTTCCTATTACTGAACACTTGATGAAGACCCTAGTGCAGATGTTCGTGTGTTTTCTTCCAGGGGAGAATGTGAAATTGATTGTTCAACTCCAGTGGCAGGACACTCTTCTTGGGTTTTTTTTTTGTTCTCTGACTGACATGCCACCATTTTTCCTTGTAGTTATTTCTTCCTGGCTGCATTTAGTTTGAATAGACTTGCCTTTCCAAGGTATTCCTCATTTTCCTGGATGAGATGCAGAATGGATGGATGTGCCTCTAAAGTTTCCACACTCTCCTCTAGCAATCTGATCAGTTTACACTTGGTACAGGTATTTTTATGTTTTGGAGTTTGCGGCATTGAAGCAAGACATATGTTGTAAACAAGTACTTCTTTAGTCGTTCCTCAACTCAACTTGCAACCAAGCATGCACACAGGCCTTTTATAGTTTCCCAAACCCAGGCAGTCCAGCCAATAGGGAAGAACCTTTTTTCGCGCCTTGCGCATGCGCACAAGTCCAGCGCCAGCCAGTCTGGTCCCAGGCAGCTTTTCAGTTGCCCGGGACCGTTTGCAACATTTCTGGGCCTGCTGAAATGCTTCAGCAGGCCCAGGACACAACACCCCTCCCCCCTGGATGAAACATGCCAGAGAAGGCACAATAGCCCCCATATAGGTGTCTAGGACAGGATAAGTGTTAAACACAAGTTTCTTTTACTGTGCATAGGCAGAGCACTTTATACTAAAGCATAATAATAACATAAACTTTTAACAAAATAATTACAACAACCACTTTGTGGAACATAATTCTTTGACTAGTAAGGTGGCCTTTGGACTGATAGTAACCTTACATAACCTTTAAGGTATTTAGGTGGGCCTTTGGCGCTTTGTGACCATCCAGGTTCAGGGAGGGTGCCTGGCTTGACAGCTTGCCTTCCAGTCTAGGCAGACCAGGACTTCTATTTAATGGTGCCTGGCCTACCTGCCCGTCTGGTGGGCTTGATAGACCAGGACTTTGATGCCTTAGAATTCCAGGTGACCCACTCTGCTGCTGACTGGCTGGATCCTCTGAATCCCAGCCAGGTTTCCTCGGAGGGGTGGAAATCCCCAAGCCCAATGGTGGAGTGGAACTCTCCAAGTCCACAATGGACTCCTCTTGGGAACATTATCCCTCAAGCCCGCAACCAGCATTGGAAGTGGCCTGTGTTGCAGAAGTGCCCCAGTAGTCCCAGTCCCCCGTGTATGTGGCCGAGGTGCCAGAGTCAGGAGCCGCCTCCATGGCAAACCCCCTCTCTTGTGGTTCCCTGTTTGGAGCGCTTGCTGTATTGTGTGGATACCCCGGTGAGACTCCCTGTCTGGAGCAATAACTGATGTGCGGAATGACCCCCTTTCTGGAGACTCCCTGTTTGGAGCAATAGCTGAATCCTGAGAATGCCCCCATTCAGTCACGGGACCCTGTGCATTAGCGTGTGAGAACTCGCTGGAGCTGGGAGACTGTGGCCCAGAATGCAATTGATGGCCCTCCTCCCCCCTGAGAGCAGAGCCAGGAGCGGAAACATTGTTGGACAACCGCCAGCGCAGTTGGTCAATATGGCACCGAAGGACGCGTCCATCGCCCAAGGCCACTTCATATGAGAATGGCCCTGAGACCTTGCATACAACAGCACTGACCCAGAGATGTCCAGGACCATAGTTCCTTGCCCAGACCGGATCGCCCACCTGAAGTCTCCTAGGTGCCCGCGGCTATGACACCTGTGAAGCCACCCAGTCTGGGTGCAGTCTGTCCAACTTCGTGATGAGGCGTCGACCCCAGCGGACTTCAGCTGGGCTCTTTCCAGTGGCAGTGCATGGTGTGGTGCAGTGTGCAAGAAGGAAATCTGCTAACCTGTGATGCCAGCTACCGTGCGTGCTTCTTTTGAGTGCATCTTTGGTGGTGCATACCATCCGTTCAGCTTGCCCATTGGTGGAAAGGGTTGCATGCCGGATCAAGTTGGCCTGTAGGAAAGCCTGGAACTCAAAAGAAGTAAATTGGGGGTCATTGTCAGAGACAAGGACATCAGGAAGTCCACGGGTAGCGAAGATTCCTCTCAACACCTGGATGGTCCTAGCAGTAGTAGTGGAGGAGACAGGTACAACCTCTAGCCACATGGAATGGCTATCCACCAGGATAAGGAAGAATTGCCCCTGAAAGGGCCCAGCATAATCTAAATGTATCCTGACCAAGGTGTTTGTGTCTCCTCCCACCTGTGTACAGGGGCCTGAGGCATTTCAGACCGTGATTGTTGGCACACCTGGCACCCGTGCACCTGGGCTTCGATAGCTTTATCAAGCCCAGGCCACCAAAGATGACTGCATGCAAGCGCTTACATGCGCACAATGCCCGGATGTCCTTCATGCAGAGAGAGCAAGACTCTAGACCTCAGTGAGGCTGGGATAACTACTCTACTACCCCATAACAGGCACCCCTTAAATGTAGACAGTTCGTGCCTCCTTTGCCAGAAGCTTTGAAACGCAGCATCTGGACACGTGTCAGACCATCCTGACAACACCCATATCAGCACGCGTGTAAGCGTGTGATCAGTGGCAGTTTCTGCAGCCACATCCCTAGCATTGAGGGGAGATTCAGGCAGTTCCTGAATAGAGAGAATATTAACAGCAGGGGCAGGATCTGCCTCTATTTGTGTGAGAGGTAGCCTACTGAGGCCATCTGCATGGCCCATTTCTTTCCCAGGTTTGTGAATAAGCGTGTAGTCATATGCTGACAGGAAAACTGACCACCTCAGCATACATGGGGATATGATATGTGGGGTTTGTTTGGTCGTTGTAAACAACCCCAGCAAAGGCCTGTGGTCTGTATAGACCGTGAAGTGGCGGCCATATAAGAAATCATGGAATTTCTTTATGCCAGCCACTATGGCCAAGGCTTCTCTGTCAATCTGAGCATAATTCCGCTCTGCAGATGACAGAGTCCTTGAGTAGTAAGCCACAGGGACTTGTGTCCCGTCAGTCTTCAGGTGACTGAATACTGCACCCACCCCATTAGGGGATGCATCACAAGCGATGCACACAGGATGTTGCTCGTTAAAATGTGCCTTTAAAGGCATTACAATGGGGGTTTCCCATGGACTTGAGTCCACAGGTTCCAAGATGCCCTGCTGGAGCAGCTTGTCCAGCTCAGCATCAATCTTGCCCTTGAGGGCGAAGGGCACCCTCCTAGGCTTAATCCTAACCGGTGTGATGTTTGGGTCTAACCCCAGGGCAATGGGAGGCCCCTTGTATGAACCAAGCTCTGAACTAAACACATCCACAAACTCTCTGCAGACTTCTGCAATTCCTGGAGTTTGCAGACTGTGTAGGCTAGTTACCTGGATTCCCAGGGCCTCGAACCAATCGAGTCCAATTAGACTCGTACAATCACCCCCAACAACCACTACATCTAATAGACCTTGGAAAACCTTACGCTGCACTTTGAGCATGGCTTCTCCAAGTACATTAACCCTTGAATTTTGAAAGTCAGTAAGAATTAAGTTCAATGGCCTGAGTTTGACTCGAAGGCCACTACTGCGGCAAATCCTTTTAAAGGTATTGTGTGAAATGATCAATAGAGCGGACCCGGTGTCCAGCTCCATCGATAAGGGAACCCCTTGTAACTTCACATCAATGCAAAGTTTCTGTTTAAGGGGCTTGTGTGTCCCTGTCCGCAAAATGTTTCTACGCGACGTGCAGAAACCCACCCTGTGTTGGCTGGGGACCCTGGTACCTTTCTGAAGGAATTCTTCCCGAGGTTGCACTTGCTGGCAACCCAAACAAACGGTGGCAATGTGGCCTTGCTTACCACATGCCTGGCAAATGGCGGAGTGGAACCGGCAGTCCGTGCGTTTGTGGCGTCCTCTGCAACCGAGACACTGAAGGGCTGCTGGGGCCTTGTCTGGTTTCTCTCATGGCCTTCTTACCGCAGGCTGGTGAAATCTGTCCACCTCCTCTTCAGGATCCAGGTCTGGGACTTCTTGAGCGACCTCTTGATGGACGGTCGCGACAGCTGGAGCGTTTCTGGCGAGCCGCAAGGCCTTCACAGCGCTTCTTCAGCTGCAACTTCGCGCAAGACATCTTGGAAAGTGACTTCAGCTTTAGCAAAGATTTTTTGTTTCAGGTGTCAGAAGCAGAGAGCTGCAGCAAAGGCCGCAGACGAAGCGGTCTCATAAGCGTTCTTCCAGGTTCTTGAATTCACAAGGCCTGGCAGCTTGTCTCAAGGCAGCGATGAATTCTGAAGCAGACTCACCCAGCTTCTGGTCCCTCTGCTCAAAAGCATGCCTCCACGCAATTACAGACAGTTTGGGATGGAAGTGATCCTTCAGCATGTTTTTTTAAGTCTGTGTAGGTGACAGACTCCAGCGGTGCATGGGCTACCAGGTTTTTGGCCACGTCAAAGGTGTCCTGACTGCAGACGCACAGCAGGGTTGCCGCTTTCAGGCCGTCTTCCCGGATCTGGTTAACCCTTAGGTAATTTTCTACCCGGGCCACATAGGAGTTCCAGCGCTCCGGGTGAGAAATGTCGAATTCCGACAAGCGTCCTATCTTCGACATCTTCAGCTTCGGAATGCCTCGCTGCAAGCCTTCATTGGGGAAAGGGCCCATTTGCCAAGCTCACCTCCAGCGATGCTGTACTGGCAGGTGAGTGCTCTCACTGACTAAATCCCAAGGCTGCTACCTTGATCTGCTGTACAAAGTTGTAGTTCTTTGCAGCTTTCAGTGAGCTCCTTTTTGCTCTCCCAGAATCCTCTGGTGTTATGCAGATGCTCCCAGTGATTCCATCTCTGCTCAACTTCATGTGAACCAGTTATGTATATAGGCCTACTATTATCAGCTGTGCCTGTATGCTTATTAACCACCCCACCTTAAGCTTTCATTAATCCACTTAGTCTTTTTAATTTCAATAAACTTTACTCCTTGGCATGTAAGACTAAAGGCTTAGTCTTCTAAATATGAAGCTCTAGACTAGTTTGGGAGATGTGAAGGGGAATGGGAAAACTTGCTGTGGCCAACTCGCCACGGCCAACTCACCGCAGCGAACTTGCTGCGGGACAGCTCGCCACAGCCAACTTGCCATAGAACAGCTCACTGCAGAACAATTTAACAATTCTATTTAATTATTTAAAATAAGTAAAAAATTATGTCCCTCCTTTTGCATCCTTTCTTTAATGATTCTATTCCACCATTTCTTTGTTATTAGTGTAACTTTTATCTGGCAACGAGTTGTCCTGTGGCGAGTTGGCCACGGCAAATTGTCATAGACCCCATGTGAAGGAGGTAGGGATAGAAGCATCCAGGAGAAGTCACAGCAACTTCAGGGATGTTCTTTAGATATCATACACATTAGGTGACTGATGCAAATGACATAGTTCATGTGTTTACTCCATGACATTATGATATTTGTGACATTATTTGCCCAGACCAAGATAATCATGGGAAGGGTTAGGGCTAGATAGATAGCAAGATCCCAGTTTACGGAGTGGCTGTTATCAGTTATTCACGGTTAATTGACAAAGTCACAATTGCCTGGGTTTTCATAACTTGCTAAGCCATATAATGTGACATACAAAGCATAATAGGTTTGTTCTCAGGAATATTAAGGCCATACATCATGGGGGAGGGGAAGTAAGGGGAAGCACTATGTGTGTACATGCCCACTGGCTTGCAATATAGCCAATGTGTCAGAAAATGCATGTACAAGGCTCCAAAATTCTTACAGGAGACAAATATCTTGCTTCTAGTATAAAGCTTCGCCTAAAATCTTTCAAATTGTTTTCATTAATACAATATTTCCTTGGAAATAAAGATGTGGGGCCTCTGGCTGTGTTGATCTTTTTGTTCTAGAAAAAAATAGTGTTTGCAAGTATATTTAACAAAGTCTATCCAAAATGTTCCCATATTGGGTGGTTGTTGATTCCTTTTCCCTACGAAATTATCATCTTTGAATACTCAGAACTTCAAATGGAGATTTTGGTTCATATGCCAGAGAACGTTTCTGTTTCCAACATGGAAAAAAGGGATCGAAGAGTTGTTAGGGATATTCCTTCAAAACCCCTCAGGGAGGGTGGACCTTGCCCAAGAGGGTAGACTTCCAGCACATGATAGTAGTGCTGAATCAGAGCAGAGTTCTGACCACGAGTAACCTACAGAACCTGGTTTGTTGCCCTCTGGAGCAGCCCACCAATCCAGTTCACGAGATGCGAAAACTAAGAGGGGTCTGCTCCTGGGAGCTAGAGCGTTTCACATTGGTATCCTGCCCAGGCCATTTCCCAGGCCCATCACCCTCTACAGCTGCAGAGGGCTGGTGTGGAGAGCTTCCCTCTTCCCTTTCTGCAGGTTTTCTCAGACTTCTCTCTTCTACATTGTGGGATGATAAGAAAGCAAAGGCAGGAATAATTCTGTGGTGCTCAAAGTGAATTGGGGAATGTAGTAATCTGCAGGAGTTGAAGGAACTTCTGAATGATCAGGAGGGGCCTACTTAGGTTGTTTTCTGAAAAATGAAATTTTGCAATTCCCAGCAGCTGCTGCAAGTATACTTTTGTGAAGAGGCCTTACTATGTAGCAGCAATTTAGGGTGCACTTTAAAAAGCTCTCACAAACCCAGTTCTGCTTTTTCCTGAGCACTGAATAAAGTATTGCAATGTTGCAACTACTTCTTTTTGGGTAGCATCTTCATTTCCCCGTTGTCTTTGCTCACGAGTCTTTCCGGGGCAGACGGATGCTCAAATCTTCCATTGCCAGATGTGACTGGGAGGTCTTCCAATTTGCCACTGAGATGGTTGGTAGTCTTAGTGCGCCCCCTGCTGGGTAGAGGGAACCAAGGACCTGGCAAAATAGCCAATTTGGGCAACAGCTGGAGGTATGGAAAAACCAAGTCCAAACAAGTATGTCCTCAAATGCCAGGCGACATCAGCTTTGGGAGGAGCTGCTAGGCAGGGGGCGAGTTAAATTGCACTTCTCATTCTCAGTTCTCATCTCTTTACCTATCCTAGCATTAACGTATCACATGAAAACAACATACCACCTATTACAGCAGTAGAGGTGAACAGAACGAGTTTGCTGTGTAGATTCAGGTGCTGGGTAGAAAGCCGGAGAAGGTCTCTTTCTAGGCCTCTCTTAGCTATGAAAGCCAGGTGCAGCCCAACACCCCTCACAGGGTTGTGTGAAAAATAGGAGGCAGGTTAGGTTTGCCACCTTGAGAAGAATAGAGCAGAGCAGAGCAGAGCAGAGCAGAGCAGAGGAATGGAAATAGCATAGCATAGAATAGAATAGAATAGAATAGAATAGAATAGAATAGAATAGAATAAAATAGAATAGAATAGAATAGAATAGTTGGAAGGAACCTTGGAGGTCATCTAGTCCAACTCCCTGCTCAGGCAGGAAACCCTATAGCATTTCAGACAAATGGTTGTCCAATCTCTTCTTAAAAACTTCCAGTGTTGGAGCATTCACAACTTCTGGAGGCAAGTCTTTCCACAGATTAATTGTTCTAATTATCAGGACATTTCTCCTTAGTTCTAGGTTGCTTCTCTCTTTAGTTAGTTTCCATTCATTATTTTCTTGTCCTGCTTTCAGGTGCTTTGAAGAATAGATTGATCCCCTCTTCTTTGTGGCAGCCCCTTAGATATTGGAAGACCGCTACCATGTCACCCCAGTCCTTCTCTTCACTAGACTAGACATACCCAAATCCTGAAATCCTTCATATGTTTTATCCTCCAGCTCCCTAATCATCTTTGTTGCTCTTTTCTGCATTTTTTCCAAAGTCTCAACACCTTTTTTGTAACGTGGTGACCAAAACTGGATACGGCATTCCAGGTATGGTCTTAGCAAGGCATTATTAAGTGGTATTAACATTTCACGTGATCTTGATTCTATCCCTCTGTTAATGCAGCCTAGGACTACATCAGTAGTCCATTTTTTTGGCGGCTGCCATACATTCCTGTCTTATATTTAAGTGGTTGTCTACTAAGCCTCCTAGACCCCTCTCACATCACTCATGCATCATCTGATCTTTGTCAGGGACAAAAAAATGGGGGGTGGTGATCAAATCATATTTTGGGGTCAAAAGAATGCTCCCAATGCTCCTCCTAGGGACAGTGCTTCTCAAAGTGTAGAGGACAAGTAGTGGGCTCAACACTCTCATCACAAACTCAACTTAATGAGCAGCGAATCTGCCCATAAATTTGGCGAACTCTGAGCAAGCTCTCCCTTTTTGAAGCAGAGTTTTTTGGAGGTTGTTTGTTTTTTGTTTCCTTGTCCAGGGCAACCACAGCCTGTTCCTTTCATGCCCCAGTACAGGTTTCATCTTTCATCTTATGGTATTTTGTGACCTCATCGACAATGAGGCAAAATTCATAATCAGATATCTGCCTGTCAATTAGTGTGGTGGACACATGTCTGTGATTGTGTTCAGCTTGCTATTGGCTAGGACTCTGATCTGAACTTTTTGGCTTTGACTGCAAGGTGGTGACTGACAAATTTACTGGCCACCCCAAGGACACCAAAGGCCAAGCCTGTGATTTCAAGGCCCAAAGCAACTGGGACCACGATAATGGTGTACAGGAGGCCCACACCACCAATGCCCATCTGTATTGTGAGCAATACAGCATCGATGCAATCTGGGGTATACAGCAATACTTTTTGTACAGTGCTGCCCATTTCTCTCTTTTGTCCTCAAGGTGCTTTTTCAGTTGCAAGATTTCCTGGAGTTGGTAGGACTGACCATCCCTGATGCAGGTTTGTGTTCTGAATGTTGTGCAGCCACAGCTAGTTCTGGGTAAAGTGAAGCTTTGGGTAGCTTCACGTTTGAAGGCTTGTATTTTGTTACCTCCGGAAATGCCAATGCAATGGTATGCCATTAATTACAGACCCTATTCAGTTAGGAGGGACATGGGTATTAGTGGCTGCCTAATTTCTAGTGCCAGAGAGACGGGTTGATCATGGTTGTTAAGAATTTTTTTAACTCATCTCTTACAGTAACTGTCAACTTGTAAACTCTCCCATCCTGAAGGCACTTGAATTCAGGATGCTTGAATTGGACAGGGTAGGTGTTACCAAACAAGCGGCACCTCAACAAAGATGAGAAGCACTCAGACCCAGGAAGTGATGCCCCAGAAATGTGGATGGGGCATCAGCTACAAAATTTGTTGTGCTTATCTGCTCCAGGTGTAGGTAAAGCATTTTTGGGGACATGAAGTTAATGGGGGGGGTCTCCCTGATATGTGCCCTTACTAAGCCACTGGTCCCCCTTTAGCATTGTCTAAACAGAGTAGGGAAAGCAACCAGTCTGTTAATTGGACTTCATACTCATTCCCTACAATCAGTGTGATCAACCATTCACTTCATTATATTCCAGTTTCTTTTTGCTGGCATCATCATCATCATCATTGATAATTGACTGTAACCACAACAGGCTATACAGTCCTGGGGGGGATGGCGGTTTTTATAGTGTTGTTCTTCAATAATATTGACTCTCCCTCACTGATATGATACCACCTAACTGTATAAGTGATAGAATGGAAACCAACCCACAGATCTCCACAGCAGTTGTCAGT